GCCTTCGACGTCTTCGTCCCCTTGGTGTTCGCCTACCGCGCGCCGGCGCCGTCCAGCGAGGCGGTCAAGGAGGGCCTCCGGGTGGCCGTCGCCGCGTACCCTCTCGTGTCTGGCCGCATCGCCGTCGACGGCCAGGGGCGCCGGCGCCGTCGTCGTGTCCTGCACGTCAACAACGAGGGCGTGCTGGTCCTCGATGCGACCGTCGAGGTCGACCTGGACGCCGTGCTCGCCGCCAACGTCGCCACCGACCTGTACCCCGCACTACCGGAGCATAGCTTCGGGGCGGCGCTTCTGCAGGTACAGCTCACCCGCTTCGGGTGCGGCGGCCTCGTCGTCGGCCTCATCGGCCACCACCACGTCTTCGACGGACACTCCATGAGCACCTTCTGCGCCACGTGGGCGAGGGCGGTGCGCGACAGCGAGGCATTCATCGTCCCGTCTCCATCCCTCGACCGCGCCATCACCGGCGTGCCACGCAGCCCGCCGGCGCCGGTGTTCGACCACCGGTCAATCGAGTTCAAGGTAGGTAATAAATCCAGCGATTCGTCTGGCGCCGCCGCCGCCGCCGCCGTGGAGAAGATCGCAAACATCGGCGTGCGCTTCACGGCCAAGTTCGTCGCCGAGCTCAAGGCCCGCGTCGGCGGCCGGTGCAGCACGTTCGAGTGCGTTCTCGCGCACGCGTGGAAGAAGATCACGGCGGCGCGCGGCCTGAAGCCGGAGGAGTTCACGCGGGTGAGGGTGGCCGTCAACTGCAGGCGCAGGGCCAACCCGCCGGCGCCGGCGGACCTGTTCGGCAACATGGTGCTCTGGGCGTTCCCGAGGCTCCAGGTCCGGCGCCTGCTCAGCTCGAGCTACCGCGACGTGGTCGGCGCCATCCGCGCCGCCGTGGCGCGCGTCGACGCCGAGTACATCCAGTCGTTCGTCGACTACGTCGAGGTGGCGGACGCGCGCGGCGAGGAGCTCGCCGCGACGGCGGCGGAGCCGGGGGAGACGCTGTGCCCGGACCTGGAGGTGGACAGCTGGCTCGGGTTCAGGTTCCACGAGATGGACCTCGGCACCGGGCCGCCGGCCGCCGTCCTGTCGCCGGACCTGCCCATCGAGGGGCTGATGATCCTCGTGCCGGTGGGCGGCGACGGCGGCGGCGTCGACCTGTTCGTCGCATTGGCCGACGATCACGCACAAGCTTTCGAGCAGATCTGCTACTCGTTGGAGGAACATGCTATGATACACTCTCATCTTTAAATGGAAAACTCAAGTCATAAACAAACTAGCTGGGTGACCCACGTAATTACGCGGCTAGCATCCACAAAATTATCTAGTTTTACACATAATTCTTTTTAAAATTTATTGAATAGTCATTTCGTTGTATTAGGACTTTCAAAGATTGTATTTAAAATAGGTTTTTAAAATAAACGAAAAATCAGGATGTTACATCTTCTCCATAAGCGAGGCATCGATAGTCACTCTGCTTTGCCCCTTTTGCGCTTAAGAGCTTGAGACAGCGAACCATATCCTCCTCGATTGCGTGTTCGCTCAGCAGACTTGACACCGTTTGTTGTCGCCTCATGGTTGGACTGCCCTCTCCCCTTCCCACGGCAGTTTGCTTCTGGACTGGTGGCTGTCTTCTAGGGCCCGAGTATCTTCGCTCTAGCTTTAACTCCTTGGTCCTCCTAGTCTCTTTGGCTGCTGTGAAAAGGAGCAGAACTCCAGGGTTTTCGACTCTGCTCTCTCCTCAGTCCCCGTTGTCATTGATTCCATCCACTCGGAAGGCTGTCCGTGCTCTGCCACAGGCATTGCCGTTTCTGGGGATTTGCTGAGAGCATAGTGTGGCACCACCCCCCCTCCCCCCCTCCCTTTTGTTTGTTGGAGTAGTTTTTCTTTCTGTAGTAGTCCTTTTCTCTTTTCGCAGCTGGTTGTTAGAGTGGTTTTCTCCCTCACAGCATAGGTCTGTCTGGCCGATTGCGTTGTAACAAAACCTCTATTCTTCTAATATATTAACATGTAATCTTTTTGCGCGTCCGAAAAAAATAGTGCACCACTCTTGTTTTGGTGCTAGCTCCGCTTTAATAAAGCAGCTGGTGTTAATTCTGATCCGCGAAGTGCGAGCATGAGCGATATGTGGACCTAGGGATGCGAAAGATGTGCCAGAGCTCGATCTGGTGATCGAGCGATCTGAACGTAGACGCGGACGATTTATTCGGCCGATTCGCCGCCACAATACTTACCCGATCGATACATGTCATCTTCGACAGCAAGATCGATCTGATCTCCGTCGCCGCGTCGTGTAGAATCGCCGGCGGTGCATGCCGACGAGGTGACGACACCCATGGCAATCGGCGCTGGCGGCGACCGCCTGTCCGCCCTCCCCGACGACCTCCTCCTCCGCGTCCTCCACTTCGCGAACGCCGTGGAGGCCGCGTCCACCAGCTTGCTCTCGCGGCGGTTCGGCGCGCTCTGGCGCTCATCCGGCGCGGTCAACCTCGCCGCGCGCGTCCCCGGCGCCGGCGGCAGAGACGCCTTCGTCCGTGCCGCTGATGCGGCGCTCGCCGCCGCCGGCCGCGTCGTCACGAGGCTCACCTTACACGTCGACGACGGAGATCACAGCGGCTACTGCACCTCCATGTACAACTTGCTCAGAGATCACGACGTGGTCGACGCCGTGGTCTCCCACCCGGCGGCGCGCCGCGTCGAGGAGCTCCGCGTCGCCGTCGCCGTGCACCCTTTCGGGCACGACAAGATTAATACCATGATCAGTAGCGGCAGCGTCAGGATCTACGACATCAAGCTCGCCTCCCTTCCGTCGAAAACCCTCCGCGTGCTGGACCTCACCAACTGCCGCAACCTCACGCCGGCCTCCGCCGCCGCCGCCGCCACCGCCTTCCCGTGGCTGGACACGCTACGGCTGCGGCATTGCATTGTACGGCGAACATCGACGATCTCCACCGCGTCATCGACGCCGCGCCAGTGCTCGCCACCGTGCACCTCGAGTCCGTCTACCTCGTGTCCGATGGCCACAGCTCCGATGTCTGGACAGTCTGGTCCACCCGCCTCCGCTTCCCGGCGGCCACCGTGCTCGTGCTGATCAACTGCGACACCACCGGCGCCATGGAGATCTACGCGCCGAGGCTGCGATCCTTCACATACAAGGGGGATGCCGTTCAGCCGTTCGACCTGCAGATCTCGCCGGCGCCGCCGCCGGACATGGCATTGGTGAACCTCCACTTCACCCACGCCTTCTGTCGACACGACTACCTACACTTCATCCACAACTTCACCATGGCGATCAAGGTGCTCAAGCTGAAGGCGCCGGCGTCGCGCCACCTCAGCGACATGGCGTTCGTGAGAGTGTTCCCCAACATCGAGCACCTCGAGCTCGACGGAGCTTACGACACCTGGAACAAGACGGCGGCGGCGGTCGCGAGCATCCTCCATTGCTGCCCGGTGCTTCGCGAGCTCAAGCTGAATCTCGTCGGCACCTCCAAGAACTCCAAACGAGTGCAGCATTTCTTTCGAAGAAATTCTCAGGTTGGTTTTTGACTCGTTTATCGATCATTTCTTGCGAGATCATTGCGATGACGACGATGGATTCCTCCCTGGATTGAGTTACTACTCATTCGCATGCTTGAAGAACAGTTTGAGGAGAGTTAGCCTGCAATTCAAGTTGGCCAATGATAACTCCAAGTCTTTTGGAGTTCGTCTGGTCAAATTCTTCGCTGAAAACGCAGTTGTTCTAGAGGAATTACGCATATTGACAGTGGGAAATTAACAGAAAGCTGAGCTAGGACAATAATCTGGATGTTGAAAGGATGGATGACGCTAGCACAAATTAAAGAAAAACACACTGGAGTCTCCTAAGAGCCTGCCTACAACGATGCATTACCGAGGCAACTCTTTGGGCAGAGAACTTAACGGAAGATGATCGATTTGTAATCTCTGTTTGGAAACAGATCTTCTCCTCCCCCTTACAATGTATCAATCTTTTGTAATGAACTTCTTACCTCTAATTGCAATGACAAATTCAGGTGGGGAATCTCTCCCCCGGTGATTTAGTAAAAAAAAAAAAAAACACTGGAGTCTCCTGGCTAGCTCCACAAGACGGTGGGCTAGATGTCCTAGTTCGAAACTTCACCCCTTCTAATTATTTGATATTAGGTCCTTCCTAATATTCGTATCTTTTTTTTCTAGCACAAATTAATCATCCAAGGCTAGTCGTCGTTGTCGGAGCCAGGTAATATTTTTGTAGGGTATTGAGTACATCTGGATTTGTGTGTGCCTCACACAACGTGTGAAAGGTGAATGATCAAGATACGTATGGATTGCATGTTTGCTCACTGAAGTTGGATTAATGTAGTGTTCTCATGTGGATTTGATGGCTAATTTACGGTTATTGTTGCGGTTATATTTTTAGCATCTTGTGGAAAGTGGAAACACGTGGTTTTGTAAAAAAATAAAATAAAGTGCAGTGTTTGGGAATTCAAATTAAATATGAGTAAACCTATGACAATCAACCTTTTGACTGTCATACTAGCTCCATTTTTTGAAAAAAAAGGTGCAGTGTTTAGTAATTCAAATTAAATATCAGTAAACTTGTGGCAATCAACTTGTGGCAAGGCGTGTGTGGTTTAAATATAAACTTGTTTGCAATTTTTTTTCCTGCTCTATCAATATAAACTTCACACCGTGTGATGTGAGTTGTTTTTTTTAAAAAAAAAACAAACCCATCACCCTCATAATTTCGTCTTAAAAAAATATTTTGAGGATGTCTCTCTCTTCAAATCTCGTTTTTTTCTTTTAAATTAAAACTGAAATTACAGTCCTTCTTAACCTTCTCATTTTTTCTTTTAAATTAAAACTGAAATTACAGTCCATCTTAACCTTTTTTTTCATAAAAATTACGGCCTAGCCCATTTTAGCCTAATGGGCCCAGCCCGATTTGGCCCAACGCCGCCTCGCTACAGAGACTATCTATAACCCGAACCAAGATCGATCTCAACAACCGATCGCCGCCGCCGCCGACGTCGACGACCGATGGCCACCGGCGATGACCGCCTGTCTGACCTCCCCGACGAACTCGTCCTCCGCATCCTCCACTTCGCGAACGCCAAGGAGGCCGCGTCCACCAGCTTGCTCTCGCGGCCGTTCGGCGCGCTCTGGCGCTCCTCCGGCGCCGTCAACCTCGCCGCGCGCGTCCCCTGCGGCAGCAGATACATCGGAAGAGCGGCTCTGATCGCCCGCCGCGACGCCTTCGTCCGTGCGGCCGAGGCGGCGCTCTCCGCCGCCGCCGCCGCCGACCACCGCGTCACGAGGCTCACCGTCCACATCGAGTGCGACAAGGAGGACAAAGGCTCGATCGCCAGCTTCCTCCTCAGCAGCGAGAACGACGAGCGCCGCGGCCACCGCGACGTGTTCGACGCCGTCCTCTCCCACCCGGCGGCGCGCCGCGTCGAGGAGCTCAGCGTCGCCGCCGTCCACCCTCACTGGGGCGACAAGGGCAACATCGTGAGCAGCCACGGCGTCGGGATCTACAGCATCAATCCCGCCAACCTTCCGTCGAACACCCTCCGCGTTCTGGACCTCACCAACTGCCGCAGCCTCGCGCCGTCGGCGGCCGCCGCCGCCGCCGCCGCGTTCCCGCGGCTGGAGACGCTGCGGCTGCGACACTGCACGACGAACATCGACGATCTCCACCGCATCATCGACGCCGCGCCGGAGCTCGCCGCCGTGCGCCTCGAGTTCGTCCATCTCATATCCAACATCCGCGATGTCCACTTCCTGGTGCAGCTGGCAATGTCCTCCACCACCCGCCTCCGCTTCCCGGCTGCCACCGCGCTCACGCTGATCAACTGCCTCACCAACGGCGGCATGAGCGGCAGCGTTATCGACGCGCCGAGGCTACGATCCTTGACATACAAGGGGGCGGCGAGGTCGCAGTTCGAGCTAACCTCGCCGGCGCCGGACATGAAGATGGTGCACCTCCACTTCAACCACTACTTCCATCAACGTGATTACCTTCGTTTCATCCATAACTTCACCAAGGTCAAGGTGCTCAAGCTAAAGGCGGAGCATGGCTGTCCATGGCGTATTCTTCCCCAACATTGCTCGCCTCGAGCTCGACGGAGGTTTCAACCGTTGGAGCAAGACGGCGAAGGCCGCCGCGATCGCGAGCATGCTCCATTGCTGCCCAGTGCTCTGCGACCTCAACCTGAATCTCATCAGCACGGTGTCACCTGACTATTTCAAGAACTCGAAGCAAGTTCAGCATTTCTTTCAAAGAAAATCCCAGCTTGATTTCGACAGGTCGATCGATGATTTCATGCGAAACAGCATATCAAAGCGTGGTGATCATCGCCATAACGGCGATGAGGTTTCTGGATTCATCCCTGGATTGACTGCCTGCTCCTTCACCTGCTTGCAGTACAATCTGAGAAGAGTTAGCCTGCAATTCAGGTTGGATGAGAATTCTGAGAATTTTGGAGTTCGTCTGGTAAAATTCTTCGCTGAAAACGCAATGGTTCTCGAAGAATTGCGCGTATTGACAGTGGAAACTGAAACCTGAGAGAGTAGAACAATCTGAACGTTGAAGGATGGATGATGCCCAAATTAATCATCCAAGAGTACTAGGAATTCTGCACAGAGTTTGTCTGGAATTTCTGAAAAGTTCACCTGGTTTTGTAGTAGGAGTATTAGTACATCTATCTGGATTTGTAGTCTCATCTTGAAAGAAGAACTATCAAGATAGTTGGATTTAAATTTTTGCTCACTGAAGATGGATTTGTATACTTGATATGATGAACTGCAATAAGTATTAATAGAAAATATTATCGACCACAAAAAAGCAGTAGAAAAAGATTATCTTCCTTTTCTTTGTATGCATGCACCCTTATTTGTTGTCACACCCCAATCTGATACCGCCGTACAACGGCACCTGACAGGAGCGTGTCGTAGGGAAAACGGCGTGAACCGCTTCCTACGAAACCGCGATCTCGGTACCAGTCCCAGGATATAGTGCTGGTACCCACGGTGACAAATATGAATCATAGCAATCCTTAAAATAAATAGAGGACTTATTTACCTTAACTTAGGTTGCAGCTCTGTCACACCCTGAAAATTCAAAATATATAAATTGTTGTTTAAATGGAATTTCTAGAATTTATTTTAAAAGTCTTGAAAAGAAAATCTAAGTTTAATTAATAAATTCCAATATAAAATGGGGCCAGATAAAATTTCATTAAATACTTTGCTTAATTCTATAATTCCTAGATTTTTCTGGGATTTATTTGAGCTAAGAAAGTGTTTTTAATAAATGGAATTGCATTTAAGAAATAATTTAAATTGAAAAAGTTTTAAAAAGTCTTCTTTTGGCTTTGGGCCGAAAGTCGGCCCAAAATCTCTTTTCTCTCTCCTCGGCCCAGCCGGCCCAGTCCGCAGCCGCGCGCGCGCGTCGGTCGCTGACAGGTGGGTCCCACCTGTCAGGTTCTTCGTCCTCCTTCGGCCGCCGCCGCCGAAAACCCTAGTTCGCGCCGCCGCCGTTTCCCTTCCAAATCCGGCCGTTCCTTTCCTTCTCCGGCCGAATCAAAAGAGGGGAAACAATCTCCTGGATCTCCTCTACCTTTTCTCCTTTGGAATCATCGGCTAAAACGTTTTGGAAGCTCGTGGAATCGAGTTCGATTCGGATCGGTTTCTTTCTCTCCAAGCCCGAGGTTTCCTTCGCCGTCGCCGGTCGCCGTGGGCCTTCGTCGCCGCCTCCGAGCCCCTTTAAAAGGACCCCCGGAGTCTCCTCTACCCGTCGCCACCTTCGCCTTTGCCTCTCGTCGCCGGAAGAGCTCTAGCGCCGTGTGCCCTAGCTTTGCCGTCGTCGCCGCCGCTCCAGCCGTGCGCCGCCGCCGTTCCAGACGTCGCCGTCGCTCGGGAAGGACGTCATCGTGGTCGCCGTCGCGTCGCCGTCCTCGTTCGCCCCTTCGCCGTCGCCGGAGATCACCGGAGCAGCGTCGCCGTCGACAACCCGAAGGTTTCCGCCGCTTCCTTCTCGTCGCCGTCGTCGTCCGTTGTTCGTCCGCCGCCGTTTTGGTCACCGGTGTGTTCGCCGCGTCGTCCTCTACGTGCTGGTGCCCTCCGTTTGCGTCCTAGTGCCGCCGTTCACCGGCGAGCGTGCGCCGCCCGAGCCGTCCGCTCCGCCGAGCCGCCGCCGCTGTCGGTGACGTCACCGCTGACGTCATCGGGGTCGTCCGCCGTGAGCCGGTCGTGGACCGTTCGATCTCGGCCGTCCGTTTTGGATTGGATCGATCTCGGCCGTCCGTTCGCGTGAACCGCCGCCCGTGCGCCCGGTCCACCAAAACCCTAGCCCGCTGACGCAATAAATCCCTTTTTCCTTTTCAAAAATAATTCATTATTGCGTCATAATTCAAATTAAACCGATTTAAGTGTTTTAATCCGATTTAATCTTTAAAAATTCATAACTAATTCATCTTAGCTCCGATTTAGTTGGTTCAAGTCTCTAAATTTTTCTAAAATTGAGATCTACATATTAAAAATATCCACATGTACTGTTTATGCTTGTTTATGTGCTGTTTTGGTGATTTTGCTCTTTTCTGCTTAGATTCCGTCGTTTCCGGAGAGTCCGTTTTCGCCGGAGAAGAGTTTGAAGAGTTCCAAGGCCAGCAAGGCAAGTCACACAGATCCCAAACAACCCTTTGAGCATATTGATCCTATTTAAAGCTATTATTTCTATTCAACTATTGCATTTATTTTCGAATGTCATTGGGTGGAATTAACCTATTGTTTGTTATAGCCCTTTTGTTCTTGTTTACCTTATTCCTTGATACCTTGGGTTATTATAATTTGACTAGTTGAGCTTTATATATTGGTTCAACTAGATATTAGGTATAATTGCTTAGCCCTGCTTAGAAACATTAGCTCACTATTGGGATAACTTATGATTCACTATTATTTAATAATGGCTTAATGATAGTTCACGATGGTCAATCGTGATTGGTTAATTAATTAATGTGCCAACTAAAACCTGATAATGGTGGGTTGTGAGCACATGGTTTTGATGGTCGTGCTCATGACAATTAAGGACCGGTTCACGAGTTTCGGTTGTGAAACATTTATCGTGCCAACCACAAGCCAGCATGGGCAACGGCTTTATCTTTTGTATAGCGTGGTTCATTGCGGGGCACCAGACTGAGAAGTGGCGGAGATAAGCCCACGGGGGTCGCTGGGGAGTCCATGCCTTGTTTATAAGGGGGTGATTATGATCCAGGAAGGTGCGCTGCAATGGATTGTGTTATGCGAGGGGTATTGTCACAACTCCTTTCCGAGATATCGTGGTGGTATTGAGGCACATGGTGACATGATGTGGGGTTGTGTCTTGTGGGTACAGTGGTACACCTCTGATCAGAGTAAAACTATTCGAATAGCCGTGCCCGCGGTTATGGGCGGGTCGAACAATGTCTTTCGTGATTAGTTTCACACTTCTCACCATAGTAAATGATGCTATAATTGGTAATAATTTGATTAGCTCCTGGTTTGGAATGGAATGGTACATTCCTGGTTTGGAGATAGAACTGTGCAGCCGGGATGGTTGTTCAGAATGGTTGGGCCTATACAACAGGGTATGTTGTATAGTGTTGGTTTAATATTGTTTAATTATTACTTAACTGTTTTATTAAATTCTGAAATGTTTGCTAAATGCTGCTTTTGCAAATGGAACCCTATTATGCCATCCTTTGTTATCCTGTGCACTTGCATATTTGCTGCGTGGCTTGCTGAGTATGTCATATACTCACCTTGCAATCATTCATCAGAGGAAGAGTTCTTCAATGAGGCTGATGGTGTGGAGGAGTAGGTGTAGCCTTGGTCAAGCTGCCTGTGGAGTGGAGTCGTCTGCGCCGTTTATTTTATTTTCCGCTGCTTAGATCTTTTTTGATTGAGAGGAACTATCTACCTCTGTAATGACATTTTATTCGCTTATTAATTAGAGTAATAATTGTACTCTATTACCAATTTGTTGTTGTGTGCCTCGGCTGATTCCTGGACGAGGGTTCACACACATGTAAGCGTTTGGAATTTTGGATAGAAATTCCGGGCGTGACAAGTTGGTATCAGAGCCCCTTGACCCTAGGTTATGCCAAATGGTTACCCATAGAAGCCCTCTAAAAATATTGGAAAAGTAGAACTGTTCTCCTCCCTTTCTCTTTTAATTAAACCAAACTAATGGCACATGCACTTCATAATCCCTTTTAATGGCTCTCACTCAAAATTTATTCCAGTGTTATTAGTACTGTACATCTATTACTGTACTAATGGCTCATTTATCAGCAAAAGTTTTCAATATTGTTTTATTTAGTCTTGCTGCAATATAATAAATTTAGCATGATGATTTTATAACTTGATTTTATTTCTTTTGAAACCTGTTATTCAAAAGTACAAAACTTGTGACCTCGTTTTCAACTATTTCAACTCATCTTGCAAGCTTGGTTTATTTTATTTACTTACCTTTTACTTGGATTTTCTAAACTTTATTCAAATTAATCCAAAAACTTGTGCTATTAATTGGATAAATGTCTTAACTCCCTCCTTTCACTTGTCTTTAGATGCCGCGCTACAAGCCTGAGTATCTGTTTGGTGTTGAGGGTTTTGTCCAGGAGTTGCGTACGATGTCCTTTGTCATTGGATTTGGGACTGCCCCTTTTTATGCCCAGATTCGTCATGATCGTCATGAAGAGAAGTGCCGAGTCAAAGTCACCTTGAACAGTAATAGTGAAGATATTCCCTCAGTGATGTTCGAAGCTGGAGGAAGAAACTACATCCATGCATGTCAGGAGGTGGCAAGGATCGCCATAGGAGAGCTCCGTGATCGCTACAGTGATCAGTTGGCAGACACTGAGTATCGCTACCATCCTCGCCAACCCCAGGGAAGTGACCGTGGCAGCTATCTTGAGACTGAAGGAATTGAGAATGATGCTACCACAAGGCATTTGGTTGAGATGCTGTGGGCTATGGATGAAAGTCGTGCGGAGACTGTGTTAGCAGCTCAAGATCGTGAAGATCGGAATCGTGGTAAGATTTGCAAGCTAGAAGACAAGGTGGATCGTTTGGAGAAGGAACTAGCCGCATTAAAGGGAGAAGCACCACCGCAGAAGGCCAGGATTCGTCTTACCGCAAGGAAGAGAGCTCTATTTGTCCCTCGCTATCAATTGGCGCCAAAGGTTCGTGTGGTGGAGAAAGAAGTTGCCCCAGCAGATCCTCCAGTCATCATCATAAGTAGTGATGAAGAAGAAGAATCCGAGCGCAACCATTCCAAGATTGAGTGGGTAGCAACCCAAGATGATGAAGACGAGCCGAATGAGCCTTCAATCGACCTCCGATGCTTGGAAGAACTAGAGTGACTTGTTAAGTCGTTGTCTTAGATCGTTGTGTTAGTTTGCTTGCTTTAAGTTTGGTTGTGTGTGTGGGTCTTGCATGTGATTTACATCAGTGGTGGGATGTAAGTGCATGCGTTTGCTTGCTTTTGAGTGTTAGGAAGTTGGTGAGTTTAGTGGTGTGAGAGTCTTCAGTTTGTTATAATAAAACTCAGTTAAGATCAATAAAAGTTAAAGTAATTCTCTGTCCTAAGTAGTTTCCCCCGGTTTCTCTTCTTATCCTGTCCATGCCAGATGGTGAACACTCGCAGCAACGGGAATGGTCCCAACAACCCCAATAACAATAACAATGGAGAGAATCCCACTCTTGCTCAAGTT